AGGCCTCTGTGGCCACACGTGCATGGTTACGAGTCGAAGCCGGGGGCGCGGGTGCGATGGAGGTGCTAATGCGATGTTCGCACGGTGTTTAGGTTCAGAGGGCAAATCACAGAGCAGCACGGGCGCACTGGCAAGCACAAATATGCAGCGACAGACGAATCACAGGGCGGGCAGGCGGCGATTATGGTTGACATGTGCATGCCCCCATGGCACACCACCAAGACGCGAGTGGCGAGGGGGGACCTGACGTGAGATTTGGGGTGATGGTTATCTTGTAGTAGTGGTAGTAGTAGTAGTAGTGGTGGTGGTGGTGGTGGTACTATGTTTTCAGAGGGAAAGTGCATCGAGGGCGGATGGCATGAGAAAGGCGTGGGTGTCGGGCGCGGAGGATTGTTGCCCTAGCATCTTAGCATGCAAGTGGTATGTCTTAGTCGGCCGTCTTGCACGTGACCGGGCGTTTTGTGTGTGGGTGTGTGGGTGTGTGGAGAGGCAGAAGCAGAGGGCAGAAGCAGAGGCAGTAGCAGCAACAACAACACCACCACCACCACCACCACCACCATCACCATAGCCAGCCAGCCAGCCAGCCATCATGTGCAATAAGTAGTAACGAGTCTCTGCTCCGACACGCGCTCCCCGGGCTCCGGGCCTGGTGGAGGCTCCAGGGACAGACTGCATGCGTCCAAGTGTGGGTGCATGTCTGCATTCTGCATGCCACACTGCATGGGGCACTTCTCTTGCGGGTAGTGGTAATGGATCGAGGACAGGCCGGCTCATCCACAGGGGTGCATGTCCAAGTACAGCGCCGGGCAGCGTGCATCGGGTGGGACCTTGGTCGAGCCGTGCGCCCTGCCTATCGGACGTGGTAGAGGCGTGGTGAGCCTGCTGTGTCGCAAATGGGTTTCAAGAGGATACGCGCCTGCTGCCCTTTTGGCCCTCGACGCCGCCGCTCCCACGCCTGCAAATCTACGCTATTACACCTGCAGAGTCCTTCTTGTCCGCTTTCTCTCTCCCTCTGTGTCTCTCCCCCCCTTTGCCATACAACAACAACAACAACATCACCACGACGCTACACTACACTACACACCACTCCTGCCATCACCACTCCGACTCCCTCCCACTAACCGCGTGCCGCCCTGCACACCCTCAGCTGGGCAATTGCCGCTATTCCACGACTCGGACCCCGCCCGCCAGTGTCCCCGTCAGTGGCCCGCGCTGCTTCGACTCGCGCAGCCTGCATTTGCATTCGTCCATCCAGTCCAGCTTTCTCAAGCTTGCTCGCTTCTTGACCCGCCGCTGCCAAGCGATAAAACGCCCCCCCTCCCCCCTACGCTGCAGGTAGTAGCTTCCGCCAGAACCAGAAGCTACCCACACGTTGTCGACCTGTCCCAACGGTGCGTCCTTCTCTCTTCCACACCACACACACACCCATACTCCCCCTACACCACCCTCTCTCATAATACCCGCCTCACGACTCCGCCTGACCCATCTCCTTGCAGGGTCTCTGAGCTCCGCCCTTCGCTTCTCAATCTCCCGAGCCCGCCCCATTGCCTCCGCCGAGCAGGGTCGTAACCAACTCTAATCAGACGACGCTGCACCTGCACCTGCAACCCTCGCCATGGCTGCACCTGCAACCCAATCCCTCAAGTGCGTCGTCACGGGCGACGGTGCTGTTGGCAAAGTAAGAAGCTCTGCCCCCTTCGTCGTCCATCCCCCCAGCCCCATGCTGACTGCCTGTCCCAGACATGTCTTCTCATCTCGTACACGACCAACGCCTTCCCCGGCGAGTACATCCCCACTGTGTGCGTTGGCCCTCCTGCCCTCTCGCACCCATCCATGAGCTAACCCGCCTAGTTTTGATAACTACTCTGCAAATGTCATGGTCGATGGAAAGCCAATAAGCTTGGGACTGTGGGATACCGCCGGACAGGAGGATTACGACAGGCTGCGACCGCTCTCCTACCCCCAGACCGATGTTTTCCTCATCTGCTTCTCCATCGTCAGCCCTCCCTCATTCGACAACGTAAAGGCAAAGGTAGGCACAGCTGACTCCATCATCAAAATTATTATCATCATCATCATCACCATCACAGCTGTCGCGCTTGTTGCTAACTTGACGTCAGTGGTACCCCGAAATCGACCATCACGCGCCTGGCGTACCAATCATCCTCGTCGGCACAAAGCTTGATTTGCGGGACGACGAGGCCACAAAGGAGTCGCTAAGGCAGAAGAAGATGGCGCCCATCCAGTATGAGCAAGCCGTCATGGTTGCAAAGGAAATCAGGGCGCAAAAGTACCTGGAATGCTCTGCGCTCACACAGCGCAACCTCAAGAGTGTTTTTGACGAGGCGATCCGGTGCGTTTGACCCTATCCCCTTGCCCACGCCTCACCGCTAACTTTTTTTCCTTAGCGCCGTCCTCAGTCCCCGTGCCCCACCGTCGGCGGCAAAGAACAAGAAGAAGTGCACCATTTTATAAGGAGGCGGAGTGGAGCGTCAAGACGAGAAATGGTTTGGCGTGATTGCACAAAGATCAAAAGATTGAATATGCTCGTAGATCATCTCTACAAGTTACTTGAGGATTAACGTATGGGAGTGATATCATCTGGATACCAAACATAGGAGACAGGGTGGACATCGCTTTTGGAGACGTCACTGGCGAACAAGGGAGGCGACCGACATGCCGGCATATGCGTCCATCTACACGAATAGCATTTGCTTCGCAGCATCTTTTAATACGCTGCAGTTGAATATCAGGAGTCTAGCATTGGCTTTTTCTGCTGCATTACTCTTCTTGGGCGTGGAGGATTCACAGGAACTGGGTTTAGCATTTCCAGTAGATCTGTTTATTGCATGAGCTGTCTCTTTTTTTTTAACTTTGCCAAAAAAAATCCTACAGTAGCCTGTTTTGTGATGAATCATGTGAAGACATGGACGCGACCATTTGGCCTCGGTACCGGCCATGTTGGAGGTTGGAGGCGCATGTACACATCCTTGTTCCAGCGCGCGTCCCCTAGCTTTCCCCGCAAACACCCGCCACTCTGCCTACACTCTGTTGCAATCATGTTCCATGAGGGAACTTTACAGAGCGGTATTTCGCTTGCCATTAAGGAACAAAAACTCGTCGCTTGCTTTGTGCGAGGTATTTGAGTCTACTCTGTCCACTCGGGATGTGGAGATCACACTAACCACCTGAACAGACGACGGAGCCACAAGCAAGGAATGGGAAGAAGAGTGGCTAACCAGTGGATGGGTATGTCACCTGGCCTGGGTATTTCCTGGCTCACTCCAATATGTACGTGCTGACCACTTGTGCAGTTGTCCAGTCTCCTCGCTCAAAAGGCTGTTCTCTTGCGACTTGAGGCGGGCTCCACCGAGGCAGGATTCCTCGCCGCCTTCTCCGACCTCTCAGAGATTCCCACTTTTGTCGTTATACACAACGGACAACTCCAAATACAACTCAAGAGTCATGTCACCAAGGATGAGTTTATCAACTCCATCAGACGAGTGCTCGGCGCCAACTCCATCCCGGGTTCCAATACAGCACCAACGTCACCACCACAGGCCGGTACCCTGGACTCACCAAGTAATCACAACACTGCAGCGGCTGAGGACGATTTATACGGGAACGAAGAATCCTACACCCCAACACCAGTTGAGCCAGCAGCTGCGCCCTCACCTTCAGCCAATGCAAAAGGTAAGCAAAGGATGACATCAGCGCCGACATCGAAACCCACTTCGTCCGGGTCTGTAAATAAAGCACAGCAAGAAGCCCGCGATGCTCTACGGAAGAAGAAGAAAGAAGAAGCAGAGGAATTAGCACGTGTAAAGGCACGAATAGAGGCAGACAAGGCAGCAAGAAGGGCAGAAGCAGAAGCAAGAAAAGCAGAGCGGGAAAAGGAGCGGAACAAGGAAGCCCAAACATCACCTCCGCCACACACAATAGCATCATCATCTTCAAGGGGGTCACGAGCAAAGCAGGTCAATTTGAATGTGCGGTTATTCGATGGACGGACGATACGCTCTACGTTTCCACGCGAGGTTACGTTACAAGGAGAAGTGAGGAAATGGGTAGACTTGGAGTTTTCCAAGCTCTCGCAAGACGACGCAAACATCAACCACAAGCAGCTTCCTCCTTACTACTTTCGCCATATCCTTGCACCCCAACCAAGTCGCGAGCTCTCGGCCGGTGACGAAAGTCAGTCACTGGGCGACATTGATCTCGCGCCCAGCGCGACTCTGGTCCTTGTCCCAGTAAAGGGATACACAGAGGCGTATTCTGGGGCAGAAGGTGGTGTCGTAGGAGCCGCTACGGGTCTTGTAGGCGGCGCATTTGGGTTGCTGGCCTCGACAGTCGGCTTTGTGAGCAACACGATTGGCTCTGCCATAGGGTACGCCTCGCAAGGTGCATCATCATCATCGTCATCTTCGCAACAGCAGCAACGGCCTGGTGGTGGTGGTCAAACCGTGGGTTCTAGATCTAGCCAGGAACCGCACCACGATACTTCCAATAATCCGGGCTTTAGAGTACGCACACTAGCTGATCAAAGGGGCAGAGAGCCCCAGCAGTTTTACAACGGGAACCAGGTATGTTCACTGTCTGAATGCTGAGAGTTTGATGAACGCAAGCTGACATCTCTGTGTGTGTACAGTTGAGTACAGAGCATAGGCCCGAAGACAATGATAAGCGGGATTAAACTCTGGGACATCTCGTTACGTGAAGTTATCGTATCTTATCCATACTGTTTAAATACCTTCTTCTCCTCTCAACGGTCACGGGGGGTTTCTACGACTTCAGATACGTTTTCTTTTTTCTTTTTTCATTGCACAGATGATTACCGGAACCTTTTACGGGGGAGCAAAAATCAGATAAAGCAAGATCACTCATGTACAGAAATGAAGTAAATGACCCGTATGACCAATTGAACGAACCAGAGCATCATCCACCCATGTCCCACATTTCCGAACAAAAGAAAAGATCCATCCCACCCTTACCTAGTCCTCTCACTCCATCAACCCTGCCGCCTTGAGTAACTCGCTATCCACCATCGTCCCCGCAAAAGCTACCTGCGGCCCTTCAACCTGCGGCTTCCAACCGTGACCCTTGCTCGTCTTCTCACCCAGAAGCGCACCTTCATTTCTGGCCTCTTCGAAAAACGCCAACACAGCATCTTGCACCCCAGCATCAACAAATACATCTTCTCCCAACGCACCATTACCGCCTGCGAACGTGGGACATGGGACTTGGGTACCAGAGCACCATTTTACATCTGTCTTACCGTCGTCGTCGTCATCATCGAATGCATGCTCATCCTGGGATGTGGGCATATCAGTGCAGTGCAGCGGGTCAGACGTGGCGTCGTTGAATCGCCACTGGCGCGCAAGTTGGTGCAGGAAGTTGCGTAGACCTGGATGCGTGATTTGCGAGGCGTCGATAGTGCAGTGTAGGAGTGCTATAGCGGTGATGCGGGACGTGTATTTTTCAACTGCCACAAACCTTGTTAATAAGAGGGGGAGAAGGGATCATCGGGTTGTGGAGGAGCGGCTTTGTTACTTACAATCTTCCGCCAACACGGAGACAAGGGCCTCGGTACTATTTTCAATTGCGATGATGGAGATCTCTGCGTCGGCAGCGATACGCGTGGTGTTGTAGAGAATCTCGTCGAAAAAGGTTTTGATATGCTCTTTTGGTGTGCAGTGGCCCGGGAGGGAGTTGGAGGAGTGGATGCGGATCATGTCGTGGGCGATGGATTTGCGTGGCATTGCGGACCAGCTGCGGAGAGTCATGGCTTGCTTGTGCTTGTGAGAGTAGAGGAGTTGGGATGTGTTCAGGATGAGCAAGCTGGGTGCGTTACTTTTGTCTTCGAGCTCGTAGTTGTCTTTGAAGATTATGGTGGCTTCGTCGTCAGTGTTGTGCGTACTCGAGTGCTTGATCATCTTCTTGGCAAAGTTGACGACGGATCCGCCATTGATACCGAGGTCCCTTGATAGTTGAGAGTATGATAAGATACCCGGGTCTTGTTGACTGTCGTTGATGAGTACAGTGATTTGCTTGCGCGTCTTTAGCGTCTCAGGCTCAGGAGCAAGGATAGGTATGCTTGGTTCGTTGGGCTTCTCTGTAGTGTACTGTGGAAGATATATACGGTTGATTCCCAGGCGAGACAGCCGTGCTTCAACTTCCCTCCGCTGGCAAGCTGTGGCATGTCAGATGTACTCTAACTCACGTCGGCCATCGAACTTACCGTGCATAGCCTCGCAGCGGACCTCATTGACACGCTCGTTGTTGGTGACACAGTAGGTATGAGGTCTATTCGGTGCATCGATCATGCGTATATGACCTGTGTCGTTGATGAAGAAGCCGAGTTGCTTGAGGTCCGCTGGGTACGACGGGTCCGCCTTCATGGTGTTTTCCACACGCCGAAACATATTGATAATGCTTCTTGGCAAGAGATGAGGTTGTAAATTGGTTGAAGAGATCTGAGAAACAACAAGACAGCTGAGCTGTTGGAAAAGGTTTCACTGTTGGTGGCCTGTAGCGGTTTGTATCTGCTAAATACGGCAAGAGCAAACAGTGAGATAAGCAACCCGGCTGGCACGTGAGGTGTGTGTGTGTGAGTGAGAGAGAGAGAGAGAGCAATCATTTACGCGCCGACTTTGAACTAGAAAACCATCTTCATAGCCCGGGTGCCTTATACGCAAGTACGCCGCCCAATGTCCGATTGCCTTGTCATAATATTGTACATGTTCCCACATATCTTCTCTACCAGCTTGCCTTCTTCACACCTGGTAGGTTTCCTGCGAGCGCGTTGACACGGAACTGATACTGCCAAAATGTTAACTTGAGGCCTAACTCCAACCGCATTGTCTACGTACCCTTCCAAGTCTAAAGTCGCTGAAAACACCACGGCCTTTGCCTCCCATTATACATCGGTTCTTGATCTGTGTGAAGCGTGTGTAGCAGTGCATCTCCGATAGTTGAAGCTGAGCCTGCGCGCGGACTCGCTGCGGGAGCGTAGTATTGCGGATTATGTAGCGGAGCGCTTGTCTATGCTGCCATCAATAATTGAAGATATTCGGAGAGATGGGTATGCGCACCGTTCTGGCTCATTCTCCGAGTACACCTTGCGCTTCGTGTGGTCGCGAATGTTGCGGATCTTGGTGAAGCAGCCAATGTCGAGCTTGGCCGCGCGGAATTGAGACATGACGGCGGTGGGTGGTCTTGTCGTCGCTATCAAAGTCAATGGGGCCGACGATGAGGTTACGCCCAAATTCCGATGTTCATCCGAGCGCCGCTCGTTTTGCACCAATCAGCGCCACGCTGCCTCCGCCCTCCATCATTCACCTGCCAGAAGTCGAATCACAAGACAAACACTTGGTGCAACTTACTAATCCTTGAAGACTACTGCAAACCCAGCCTTTTTCTTTCTTGCATAGATTTGCATCTTCCGCGTCAGTCCGCAGCATTACCGCACCAGAGCAAACTCTTTACTTTCACCAATTCTTTGTCGCACTAGACAAACCGGCGCATCCTTATGCGCAGGATCCTGGAAACATAGAGACACTACCCCGAAACTCGGAAAATCTTAGTCTCACCTGTGGAGTCGGCATGTTCACCGAAAACGACGTCAAAAGCATTTTTTCTCTCTTTCCCCCGCAGACTAGCCCAGAGTTTATACCACAATTCGCCCTAGCCTCCAGTGGTAATGGCTTCGTTACACTTCAGTTTGCCCAGGCACAATTTCGAAGTCGTGTAACAAGAGGTGACTTTTCGAGTTTCCAGTGGAGAGAATTTCACTAACTTCGTTTGCAGAGTCGGAACGAATTTCAATATCTGAATTGGCTAGCGATCTGGACATTAGCACAACTCTTGTACACCAACTTGCGCGGAGCCATCCAAAACTATGTCTGTTAAGCGCAGATCAAGAAAACATCATTCCCATTGACGAGCGAGACGCGCTACAGAAAAAGCTTGCCGACTTGCTCTCTTCCGGAGTGCACTCCAAGACCGATTTTGTTTCTCAACATGACGTGTGGCCCAAGAGTCTTGACGCCTTACTTGCAGATCAAACTCATGATATTACAGACATAGATGGCTTTATGTGCGCAAGGGCTTACGAGAGTGAGATTTCTAGCAACATTACCAATAGAGTCAAGCAGGCACTCGATGAACCACAGTAAGTACAAATTTCGTCGCTAGAGGCTGGGCTGTTGACACTTCAAAGGACCATCACCATCTTGCCAGAAGATCTGCCTGGCAGTCCCCCAGTATGGTTCATATTCCGACCTTTAGAAAAGGCGCTGGAGTCTGAAAATCTCACATCCCAAGTTTCTATCGAGCAAGACCGGAACCGTGTAACTTGTACGCCCAAGAGACTTGTAGAATCAAAACGCAACGCAACAGTCGAGGAATTGAAAAGCGGTACATTGGAGTACTTGGATCTAAGACAGTTTGCCACAGACTACTCAGAGCTAGTCCCAACCTATGAAGACGTAATATCTTACTTCCAGGACGTTAAAGAAGTAGAATTACTGGACTCTTTTGCTGTGTCAAAGCCATGGATGGCACAAATTGGGCAAGACTGCATACGGATACTCGCGCAAGAAGGCTCTACATTAGATGTCACACAATTAGTTGGCCCGTGTCTGCCTGAAGCTATCATGGATCCGATAGTCGCCAGAATCAAAGATTCTGTCGTCAACGCATTCGCCCAAAGACCACAAGGAGAAAGAATCGTCCGCGCTGGCCACTTGATCCTCACCGAAGCCCGACGAAACTGCGCACTAGACGAGCTATCCAGCTACGCAAAAGCAGATGCAAAATCGCAATGGCAACTCCTCCGCGCCGACCCCACAAGAACCGACGACATAAAATTCAACCGCGACAGAGTCCGAAACTCGATACCCAAACAGTGTCTCGTCCAGCGCTTCCTTGCCGATGAAAAGCCCGTAGAAAAACTACTCGAAGAAACCTTCCTCCAGACTCTTGCATCTCTTGAACTCCCAAACGAAGCAGAATTTGCAACCTACTGGACCGACCGCATCCTCGCGCGCTTCCAAGTCTACAAGACCGGTTTGGGCCATGTGTCGGATCAAAAACTCCACGACCAACTTGCGGACTTACTCGCTACCTACGCACACAAAGACCTCATCCCGGACACGATTGCCAAAGCGCGCGCACAGGGACTCGTACTCAGTCGCAAGACGCGCAAGAATATAGCTCGGCTATCTAGTATCCTTGACATAGCAAAGGCAACGGACATTAGCGGCATCACGTCTGCACTGGAGAAATTTGCAAAGAAACAAGGTATTCCTGCACCGTCAGCCACAAGTTTGGAGACTGCAAAGCAGAGTATGCTAGATGACATGTTGAGGAGGTTGCAAAAGCAGAAAGCGTCGGATGGACCTGTGCTGTTCTTGATGCTGGTGATTGTGTTGTTTGCGCGATACTATGATGGCGTTGTGTATGCTACGGGGAAGTTTGCGCCCAAGCTGTTGAAGCTGTTGAAAGGGAAGATTGGGGACGAGCAGTACGGGCAGGTGGAGAAGTGGAAGGAGGCAGCTAAGACGAGTAGTTTGAGTGCGGAGGATAGGGCAGAAATGGTGAAGATGGCAGAGGCGAAGCATGTTGTTTTTGAAGGATGATGATGATGTTTTCAACAGATGAGATGGGTCACGAGTAGCGCACTTGGAAAAACGGAGTGAAGCAATGGATAGTAATATTACGATTCATTCAAGCTATTTATACAGCTGGTTTTAAGGTAATATAGGGGGTATTCGTGAAAATCATGTCATGAAACAATGGCCAGAGGTGACCCGTCGCTCAGTGGGACCTCTTTGTTTACAATATTACATGTATACAGGAGACGAGACGGCATCTAATCAAGTAGGCCAGCCTTTCCATCGTGGTCTGCGTCCTTCTTGGGGTCTAGTAGAGGTTAGTATATGTATGTCTTGAATGGAATGTCAGAGACTACTTACTCAGCTTGTCCATCAAGGATGGCTTGCCATGGATGTCAGTACCGTGAGTGCCGTGAGTGCCGTGGGTACCAGTGGTACCGGTGGTGCTGTGAAGACCATTGCTACCGTGAGTTCCGTTGGAGCCGTGGAGGCCAGTAGTACCGTGAGTACCGGTGGTGTGGTGGCCGTTCTGGAGGGAGGAGTGAGGCTCGGCCTGGGAGTAGGGCTCTACAAGGGCCTTGGGCAGGTCACCAGTCTCGTTGTCGCGGTGAGCCAAGTTGCCAGTGCCTGTGCTGGTGTTATAGGCGGCGCTTCCCTTGTTTCCAGCGGGGCCAACACGGTCAGAGTCGACCCTGGGGTCAAGCTTGTTGGCGAGGTGCGAGTCGTGAGGACCAGTGGGATCGCTGTGGCTGGATGTTCCGTGGGTGCCGGTTGTGTGGCTGCCAGTTGTGTGGGTACCACTTCCCAGGTTGCCAGCAGTGCCGACACGATCAGAATCAACCCTGGGGTCGGCCTTGTTGGCCAAGCGGGAGTCGTGGGGGCCAGTGGGGTCACTGTAGCCTGATGAACCATGGGTTCCAGTTACTCCGTGAGTGCCAGTGGTTCCGTGAGTGCCAGTGGTTCCGTGAGTGCCAGTAAGTCCATGGCTGCCAGTTGTGTGGGTGCCACTTCCCAGGTTGCCAGCAGTGCCGACACGATCAGAGTCGACCCTAGGGTCGGCCTTGTTGGCCAAGCGGGAGTCGTGAGGACCGGTAGGGTCGCTGTATCCAGTTGAGCCATGAGTGCCAGTGACTCCGTGAGTGCCGTGGGTGTTGGATCCCAGGTTGCCAGCGGTACCGACGCGGTCGGAGTCAACCCTGGGGTCGGCCTTGTTGGCCAAGTGGGAGTCGTGAGGACCAGTGGGGTCACTGTATCCAGTTGAACCATGGGTACCAGTGACTCCGTGGGTGCCAGTGACTCCATGGCTGCCGGTGGTGTGGGTGCCACTTCCTAGGTTGCCAGCAGTGCCGACACGGTCGGAGTCAACCCTAGGGTCAGCCTTGTTGGCAATATGAGAGTCGTGGGGGCCAGTGGGGTCACTGTAGCCTGTTGTGCCGTGGGTACCATGGCTGTTACCAGTAAGGCCGGTCGAGCCAGTGTGAGTTGTGGAGGTGTTGTGTACAGTAGGGTCAGCAGCGTTGGCGGTATGTGAGCTGTGAGGGCCGGTAGGGTCGTCTGGGAAATGTTAGCAAAAGAAGATGAAAGCGAATCTTGGAGTTGCTTACCATGAGTCTTGTCCTTGTGGATGACGTTGTCGACCTTGGCCTTGACTTTCTCCATCATTCCTGTCATGATTGCGGTTGTGTATGTAATCTGAGGGTAATGTAATGTAATGTACTAGTAGATGATTGGAAGTGTGAAGTAGGTAGTTGTTGTTGTTGTGAGATGTTTGTGTTTGTGTTGATGATGGTGAAAAGCAAAGGGACCAATGCCTTCTTATATGTATTCGATGAAGGAGCAAGAACCCTCAAGGCCCTCCCATACGTCATGTTCATGTTGGTGATACAAACGGCAGGCAAGACCAGATATCCAGGAGGCGATGGCTAGTGGAGCGATCAGCCACAGCAAACTGTGGATGCTCACGTCAAAATGTCTCGAGCGCCGCAAGAAACCTGGATGGATGTAAGGAAACCTGGTCAAGCGGGTCTCGAAGCGGCATTGGTCTGGTGATGTTCCCCTCGTTTGTCTAATTTACGGCAGCCGTGCCACGCCTCTGGCAGCCACAGGAGGTTGGCTAATGGCTCCTACGACGGGACCCTCCAGGGAAGGTTTTACACTGGCTTGGCCGGTTTGATGATAGCGGGACTCAGCATGCGGGCTGGGTTGCGTCATTGTTCGAATTCGGTGCATGGAAATGTGGGGTAGGGCAAAGCTTAGCCATAACTCCACTCCCGCTTTCATCTAATGTTGCATCAGTTCCCTGGTGCCCAGCTCGGCATACACCGCCACAGCTGCGCGTAAACAGGGCACGACAACCAGAGTGGGTACCGCGCCCACGGTCTAGAAGCCGCCGCATCGACATGTATACCCTATTGTCTTGCACGCACACGCCAAATCTCTTGACAGCGCGTTTTTCTGGTTTACCATCCGTATGAGCATCACGGGCCAGGCGGGCACGATGGCGATTAACCTGGCACGAGGGTCACTGCTGGGGTTCCCTGCAACACGTAAAAGCTGGGGGTGAATGACGTACCCTGCAATGTCGCCATCTTACGGATACTCTTGCGTCTCGACGAACACACCCACCGATGATATCAATTAAGTGGGACTTGCAACGCGTCTCAGAAATTCACAGAAAAGACATGTGCCTGTTCATCCGTCTCCGTTGGACACGGCCGCTGGCAGAATTTCCCGCGTTGCTGGAACTGAAGCTTGGGCCAACCATGTACGTGATAATGACGTCGTTCCAGCTACACCAAACCCTTCCCCCCCATGGCTCGACGACGCGACTTGATGTCCATCACGACGCAATTTTCCTTGCAGAATCCCCAATTCCTCCAATCGCCCCGACTTCCCCGCCGCAACCATGTCCGAGTCCAGATTGAGAGTCCCCGACAAAGTCAAGGAAGTCGCAAAAGAGGACTTTGACCAGTATAAGCAGCTGGCGTCAGATGCTGTCCGATCAGCCGCTTATCTCTATCCTTTCAAGGTCCGTATCCGGAACTCGGAACACCGAGGCAGTCGTCAAGATTAACAACAAGTCAGGGAATCGCCTACTTCTTCACACACCGAGCACTATGGAAGCCCCTGGCTGCCAAGCTCCTCCCAACCGTCTCGCTCGGTCTGGGTGTGACTGTCATGATGTTTGCTGTCACCTATGTCCCACAAGCTGCGCTTCTCACCCTCTTCAACGGTCCTCTCGCCATTGTCACAACTGTTCTGCTTGTTCTCAGCGAGTCGTCCACCATATTCTCTGTCCTGAGCAAGAACTTTCTCATTGATGATGCCTTGATTGACACCTTTGACGGCACAATGGTCTGCCGAAACCAAACTGCACTTGTATCAAACGAGCGTCAGGTCAAGTCAGGAAGTGATCCCATTGGAAAGCTAGGCAAGCTGGTCAGCAAGCCATTTGCAAAGTTTACCCCCAAGGCCATCATTCGCTACTTCATGTACCTGCCTCTCAACTTCATCCCCATTGTTGGTACCTTTATCTTCGTCATCCTTCAGGGACGCAAGTTTGGTCCAACTGCACATGCCAGGTACTTTCAGCTCAAGCAGATGAAGAAGCAGGAGAAGGAGCGATTCATTGAGGAGCGCAAGGCTGCATACACCAGGTGAGTAGACCGACATGATTAGATAGGGAGTCAACTGACATGTCCAAGCTTCGGTGTTCCCGCCGTCCTTCTCGAGCTCGTGCCCGTTGTCGGCATCTTCTTTTGCTTTACCAATACTGTCGGTGCTGCCCTTTGGGCTGCTGACATGGAACAGGGAGTGCATCCCAGTGGAAGCAGTCAGGGAAGCACCACTGCTCCCAAGCTGCGTCAACAGGCCGAGATTGCAAGGGAAAGGGAGTTGTGAGAGAGGAACTATCTCATAATAGTGTACTAGTAATGACAATGACGATCAACGGCGTTGGGAGGTCATGTGCGCTATAGGTCTGATGGGTAGTGCCGGTACCCTGGGTCGCCTTTGTAGGTGTAAGGGAGCTCTTTGGCTAGTCGTGAATATACATAATGAGTTTAGATATGGTTTAATCAAGCCCAGTATTTCTGGTGCTGTAGTTAGGTTTCCAACATAATTTTTAATGCATTCGTATACGAAAGTACCAACAGCCCGCTTGTCGCTGTGCATGGTTCCATTGGATCTCATTACGTGCTTGTAAATTCGAATCATGAAGTCTTTTCTTGGGTTAATATTTCTGACATATACTTATTTGCAGAAAAGACTATAGAAGAAGAAGACTAGGGAAAAGAAAACAAGCATTACAACAATTGCAGTATCCAACTGCAGTGCCACCAGAATCACCGCAGGGGTTCTGCCGAATACTGGCTGATATAGCCGTCGTGCTCCCTATTGCTGATGCCATTGTGATACTTGCTATATCTCCTCTCATCGCGCGTCCTGTGCATCTTCCTCTATTTAGCAGAGAGACAAAGAATATCCTCAGTTTGTTGAGCCAAACTTCCAGTCTTATACTCTTGACGTGCTTCCGGGCATACCCTCACAATACATGGCCCCATTGCCATTTCGCACTGTGCGCCCAACCACATAACCCGAGGAACAGCATCCCTTTATATAGCTCTCGAGATCCTGATGCAAGAAGATCTGTTAACTCAAACATATGTCCTGACTGGATATACATTAGGTCTCCACTTTCCCGAACCGAGAGGATTGTCCCACTCGATACGGGCAGCCCATGAACTTGCTCGACTCCCGTTCGTAAGGCGCGACCATTAGTAAGAAGCTGGCGAGTTACCTTCGCAGTGAATCCCAGATCGCTCGACGTGGTGGTACAATGGATAATGGCTTCTTTCTGGTCGCCTTGCATTTCTGTCTACAGGGAAGATCTCAATCTCGTTTAGCTGTGCGCTGAGACGATACTCATTGCTGCTCCTGTCTTACTGTAAATACTAGTCGGTGAAGGTGTGTAGCGCATATCGAGGGGTGGCTAATTGTGCGGTGTACGCAGAGATGATCGCCACGTCGGACCCGGAGAAACCGGCATTGACAAGGTCAAAAGCAACCCTTGATGCCGTAGGGGATAAATCCAAGGTTGTACCTGGACTTGGTGGCAGTTCTACATATATACCAGGAGGGTCGCCGAAGCCGTCCTTTTTCTCCATCGATGATGAGTCATTGTATAGTGATTAATGTCTTCAGTTTGCGATTCATATTGATAATTATGGTGGACGCATATGCTCCTGGCTTGGGTACTGGCATTACCGGTAGATTGGAGTACCGGTAGATAGCCATGAACACGGCGGCTCCCCCTTCTCCATCTTTGGGTGTCGTCTGTAGACGGAGAGAAACCGTATGAAATATCATTGCATACTCGGTATATCTATGAGCTTCAGTTGGCGTCATACTAGATTCCACATAAGTCAAACTTCTTTTCGGGGGAAATTCCGCCAAAATAAATAATACGCCGTCCTCAGTATATATCTGTGCATGCGGATATCCAGCGAAGTCCTAATTAAATTCCCGTCTTATGAAACCCGACATAAATTTCACCTTTTCGAGATGGCCGCAGGTCCGTAAGGTAGTGTCAGCTAGTGGCAACTAGATCGCGAACTGAAAACGGACGGCCCGAGGAAAGAACTTCACAAAGGCCAGCTTCTTTAATGCCGGTGATGATGGTTCTTGTGAGTACCGCGATACTATCCTGTTGTAATATGCGATGATACTGTCAAGCCCGAAGGGTGCCTTTCCATGAACTGGATTGGGATCCAGTGGTTGGTAAAGCCAGGGCCCTTAGTAACACCCCGGATGAAGACTTTGGCCATTCCCTTTGTCATGTTGTCATCTAAGACTTGGCCCTACATCCCTTTTTGGTACGAGATCCCATCGGTTGTTCTGAATTCGTCTTGATTCGGCATGCGTTTATATTGAGTTCTTGCTGCTGTAGTTTTAAGTCTGTACCGATAGAGACGCCAACCGGTATATTGCGCCTAGGACTTGAGGTAAGCCACAATATGGCTGGGTTTGATGGGCTCAGTGTGTCTGTCCTTCGTAGATGCCTGGTATCGTCGCGCAGCTCAACTCGTTCATCGTGAAACTCATCGATCTGCGAATTAGGGCCAGTGAACGATTGTTGATTAAAGAGAAAAAGTAACTTATGTCACCCCTTAAGAAGTGTTTCTATTCCTGATAGAGTGATTCGAGAGAAACGAAGCAGTCCGATATCTTGCGATGTCGTAGTTCGAGACTAGCAAATAGTGTTTCAGAAGGATATATTTCCAGGTGCAATACAATTTGTATAGCAGGAAATGGGTAAAGAAGGTAATGATTATTTAATTATAGAATAGGAGTGTGGAGGAAGTTGTAGAAGTACAGCTCAATGCTTTATATACCCAGCGCAATAATCAAGGAAGAGATGCACATGAAGAACTTCATGTCATTAGACTACCAAAAACGTAAATAGGGCGATTCCTATAAACCCCCGTGACCAATCTTCAGCCTGCCGCCCATTTTCGTCTTTCACTTTTACATTGTCGTGCTTACAATAGTGTTTCCAATCATAGCGGGGACTACTGTAGTACTCAATACAGCGGTCTACATAGCTTCATATGCTGTATTTGATTAGTCAATGATACTGAGAAGCGTTGACAATCCACCAAAACAGATTCTAGGCAGAAGTCTCGCTGACCAACCTGTTGGAAACGATAATATGTGCCAGTATCCATAGTGACAGCAAAGCATGTAGCAATCTTAGGGTGTACTCATGTAACGTGTAGGCTACCTCAATGCCTGGATTGAACGTGGTAGTGGTCAGGGATCTCGGATTCGCACAGCCAGATGACCAGGGCAAACAACGGGTGTTGGCGCAAAGTTTTGCCAAGGTTTCTCTGAATTCTCCACGTCGTTTTTTGCAGAGCCGCTCTCTTATCGCCGCCGAGCATCGGCATGATATACGCCCTCCCTCCATGACCCCGGCTGCTTTGTGCTACGCTTAGATGGTGCTGGATACCTGATGTATCTTTATGACACAACCGGAGCATCGTAGCAAATTACCGCGGACCTCCTTCTTTTCCCAGTCTAGTGTTGTGAGAATCACGCCAGAGACTTCATCGTCTGGACATGCCTGGCGCATCCTCTCAGCTTCTTGGTCTTATTCTATGGCAAAGGCAATTATTGTATTTAAATGGTAGCTTGTTTGAGGTTGCGTTCATCTCAGGTACTGCTAAGCTTGCAGTGAGCAAATGTAGCCTTTGCAAATCTCCCCACACCCCCTACAGCATGCAAGTATCACACACCATAGTTTGATTTCCAGGTCCGTGATTGTTCCCTATAGCCATGCCTTTGATATCTCGACTTTCTTGGTTCCTCGTTGATTGGCCTGTGGCGTTGACTAAACCGACATGATCTCTCTTTCACACTTCGCGGCAGCTCTATCATGCGTTAGGGTTGCAGTCGCCAACTTCCAATTCTACAACTTCACCAATGCTGGCACCAAACTCACATGAAGTTCTGTTAATGTCTTCAATCTCCTAATAGCGGGCGATCCCGCACTTGAATGGGCTGATCAAGGATGCTTCAAGGGCGATGAAACACTGAATCTTGTATGCACAGCTGAATGTACCTTTGCTCTCGACACATGGTTAGGCCGGGCAACCAACGCCTGCAAAGACCGCTACATTGACCGATCGGGAAATGCGGTACTACCAACACACTGCGTGGAAAGCGTTCGCGAGAGTAACGACGTTTTGCGTCTGAATAATGGGTATGTTCTTAGCTGAAATACAGGAACGTATTGTATCTAATCATTGCCCAGCAACAAGCTTTGTAACTACGGTCTTTGAAATGGTTTCGGTGTCAACCCAGATAATTAGTCCAAGAATAAACTCTCAGGTAGGAGTGCCCTAACAAAAGTAAATCCCATCCAACTAACGTGCATTCAAAGTATCAACCATGACATGCGATTATTGTTTCCTTGAGGAATTTGCAGCTTCGTCTGCATCTGCTTATGTCAAATACCGATCTCCTACTCCCACTCCTATTCCTAGTTTTCCATCTGTATATACCACCGATATCCGCTTTGCGATGACAAAGTAACACAGATATCAAAATGATTTGTTCTAGGGACAAGATAGCTCCCGAGATTGGTCCATCCATTGCCCGCGTGACCAGTCCCTCTAGTAAACTAAATTAGCTATGTATAATTACATAGAGAATCGTAAGAGACTTACTGCCATCGCGTAATTATAAGTCGATTCGCTGAACCCCTGTTTGTCATTCTGAAGGTTACATCATTAGACCCCTCCTGCCCAATAATAATAACATCGACAAGGTTGCCAAGGTGCTGAGGGGTAGATGCGGTTCGGCCAACAAGGTTAGTGATTTCAAGTTGGCCTAGACTGACAACCGAACGACTAGTCGAAGGCCGTGTTATTGAAAAGCAGCTTCCCTACCGTTTCTGTAGCACTCCGTACGCTGCGAGAGAGTCTACCTCGCTTCTAGCAACGCTGATTCCGCGTGCGTCTAGAGAGACTGGCGTAGCTTGAGCGACGCTAAGAAGTGAGGCGATGAAAATAAATGGGGCCCACATCGTGTAGAGAAGAAGTAAGTCGTTTGTGAAGGATGGATGTAGAGAATACAGAATCGGTGTGTAGGCATGTATGGGAAATTTACTCACGTTTTATACTATTTCTGTCTAAAAGTTTAATCATGTGTTGATGAGTATTCAGTAAGACCTAGTATATACTTTGAGGACGTAATGCTTACATATTACCAAATGCTTATTCCCTGGTCTTCCATTACATGGGTACTCTTAGCCTACCAGACACTGGTCTACCCTGCGATGTTACAGGGTCTATGTCACTTTCAACTCTTGTGAAGATATTAATAGAAGTGGATAACCTACATTGAGTTTAAGCTATACCTTCTTTACTATGTACCCTAAAATATCAAGCTGGGCAAAGGTTATTCGTCGCTACGCTGACAAATGGGTAGAGTCTACCCAGAGGCAGGGTAGAAATTGGGTCGAGTCTCACGGACCACGGGTAGAGGTAGAGTCGTACCTAGCGCTAAGTAACCCTACCTAACCTCTACCCTTGACCTATGTAACCTAACCTAACCCAGACTCTACTCTACAGCCGGGGGGTATCTATTTACTGGCGTACTTATTAGATACGATAATACGTGCTAATACAATATTAAGAGTAAGATAGTTAGTAGTCTTAGATTATACTTACATAAAATCTAGACTTTTCTACTACTTAAGTTATATATAGTTACATTTAGAGACCTCTAGTTTATATGACTATAGAAATAGAGTAAGTAAGATGTGTTAGTGCAAAGGTCTACCAGCTCTTCTTTAAATTCTGAATAAGTTTTTATTTATTTTTATAGAACCACTTTCCGTTTCCTTAAATATACCAATCATGTTTATCTAATTATAGAGCAATAAACTCCTCTACATCTGCGACATCTTTCTTTTGTCTCTAGTTGCTTACTCAGTTTTTGAGCAAGTCGACTCTGAGATACACGTGGATCGCGCTTCAGTGGATGCAATCGTGAAGTAGAGCGGAAACTGACCCCGCGCTCACAGCATTACATACCGAGCACTGTGCACGAGAGGATGCCTTAGTGCCTCAATATCAATATCTGACTTTTGTGAAATGTTGACTGTCTCTGTACAGCGTGCGAAGGGGGCGGAAGAATGCCGTTTCTTATGATGTAGTGCCAAGCCGAGTTATCGATAGCATCACGTGAGCCTTCTTGGATATAAACCATACCTGCTATACTTGACTTCTTTCTCACCTCACCTCGCTTCACTTCCCTACCTTCCCAGGTGCTGCATGAGTGTCTATCCACTATCTATTCCCAGGTGCTGCTTGAGCGCCTCTCCCCTTACCTCCTCTTATAGATGCTGCTTTAGCGCCTTCTCTACCCTAGAGTAGTGCATTTTCTAGTAATGTACTTATCTAGCCTCCAACAGGGTGACCACTAGCGAATCCCCGCTGTCGTATGTGTTTGTTTTTGTAACTTTTCTTCGCTCGTTAGGATGTTATGTAGAAGGGACTTGATATCGCGAAATAACTCTTATGCACATATGTATGATACCCTAGGGGCTAAGAATAGCCATTAGATAGCTTATAATAGGCAGATAATGTATTTGTGCTGAACAAAAAATACAACACTAGTCACTAATGGTGCGGGATAACCTGCTCCGTATCACTTCATCTACGGATAGGGAAGTCGAAAAATAACGCTAGACCAACTTCGTCCACCTCCGTTCCTAACTCCGCATTCCTGTCTACTGAATGCCTATGTACTGCACTTTTCCACCGCCAACATGGCAGCCTCTGGTGTGAATCTGGCTGTTACCAAAGACGGAGGGTCTTACAACAAGTTATCGAGACCTAATGATTATCTCCTATCGCCACAGCCTCCTCCGCCATCCGCGTCTGCTCTAGCAACTCCCGGCAGCAAGAGAAAGCACGAGCAGGAAAACGCGTCGGAAACAAAGCGCGCAAAAACTGATCGCAACAATTCGCGTGCCAAGGGCAAATCACGCGCCAATGAACCGTTTCGAGAGCCAGGCGTACGATCGGTGCTTCCAGGACTTGAGGGAGAAGAGCATTTGACGGACGAGTCGATAGATGAGGCAGTAGCATACCTTCGAAGTGTCAGGTAATTATCTCAGGTTGCGACGTTTTCGCACATCCTCTACAAAAAATAAGGGGCTATTGCTTACATCTCGAACCAGGTCTGAAGCCTCAGCAATACCCACCCTCCTCGTAGCCCCGACCGACGTGCACAGCACTAGCAGTGATCATGGCAACGACAGTCGCAATGCCAATAAACTGACCGTAGGCACACAACGTACTGTATACAACGATGGTACCTGGGTTGCTCTAGAAAGCGAGAGTGAGGGTGCATCAGAGTACTGGGACGGAGACGTAGAGGATCTCGACCCGCAGGAGAGCTGTCAATGGGCGCTCATTCGGCGATTCTACACTCTTCGCAACAAACTCTCTACAATCCGGGAACACAAACCGCCTTCAGGGAAAACAACAAGTTCCCGAAAATCCCAACGCAGTGATCAGTCTGGAAAGCACTATTGGGCGGAAGCCATTGGTCGCGACTATCCTGCACTTGAGGAAGTCACTCAAATGGACGAATCAACTTTATATGTGGCTCTGCATGGCTGTGCACTCTCATTAGATCGATCTACTGAGGTATCACGTCAAAAGAGCTGCTGGATATGGACACTGCTGGCCTTGACGGGAGACTTTGGGACTTTGGACCATGAGAGGATCGGCAAGATTCGGGATCTAGGTCTTGCTGCTAGCCGTTTGGTGAAAAGGCTCTCTGACAGGAGTCCAGAGGAGCAATGCGCTCCAGAGGGCGAAACAAGAGACGAATCCGATGATGAATCCGGAGACAATTCAGGTTCTGCACTTGTGAAAGAAGACGACGACTCGATGGTCAACGCGGACAGCGGTCTGGAAAGTGGAGAGGTCATGGATGATGATGCGGGCGATTCGGGTGCAGAAATGGCCATCTCAGAAGACGAAGCTGAGACACCAGATGCAGCAGAAGTGGGAGACCTTGAGAAGGCTAGAGCACGTCTTCTCGCCCAGCTTGGGGACCGTTTAGTGCAGCCAGCGGTCCCGCCATCAGACGCACCAGTTGAAACACCTGCAGCGTCAAACTTCAAGTTGCTTTCCCGAGCAGAGGCCGAGAGACAACGACAGGAGATGCGCAACAACAAGCCTCAAAAAGAGAATGTCACACGTGCACCGGTTTCTACATCTGATGCCGCACAGACCAATCGTGCAGAGCTGCAGAGCACACCTTTAACCGAGAGTGATGTAGAAACACGGGCAGCAATCGACATGATTTTGACAGTTGTGGCCGAGTGTTATGGACAGAGGGATTTGCTAAAGTTTCGAAAAGCATGGTGAAAGCGTGAAGTGTGTCTAGATACCCCTACAGCGATCATAAAATTGATTCATAGACATCTGTTTACACAGAATCAAATCACACATGGGTGTAGACACCTGAACAGGGCAGTGACGTAAACAAGCACGGACCAATTTACGTGCAGACCCGAATCTTTTCCAAACGGCGGCGGCCGCTTTGCTCTTTGGCGAATTGAGTCACTTTTTTTATTTCCAGTCCATGCCGCGCATTTCACCCCACTTTGCCTGCCCCGCGCTGCCACTACTACGACCAGACGCCCTGCGATATAGTACTGCTACTTTTGCCTCACGCAAATTCACACAAACAACAGCTTTCCGCCGCATACGCCTTTCTGTAACCCCCGCCCCCCACCGTAGACTCTCCACACAAACTTGGTCGCTGGGTGACGACGAAATGGGCAAGGAAGATAAGGGCAAGAACTTTACACTCAAGGTGCCAAAGGGCACGCGGGATTGTACGTACTCTTCTTTTCTTCCCTTTTTGGAGGGGTACATATGCTTAACGCTATATACTTACAACCATCCCAGGGACCGGCGAAGATGCCGCACTCCGCGATCGCCTTTTTCAGACAGTAACCGACGTCTTCAAGCGCCACGGCGCCACAACACTCGACACGCCCGTGTTCGAGCTCAAGGAGATTCTAAGCGGCAAATACGGCGAAGACTCAAAACTCATATATGACCTGCAAGACCAGGGCGGCGAGCTATGCTCGCTACGCTACGACTTGACTGTCCCGCTTGCCCGGTGGCTCGCAATGAACCCTAGTGTGCAGAGCTTCAAGCGGTACCAGATTGCCAAGGTGTATCGACGCGATCAACCCGCCATGACGAAGGGTCGCATGCGCGAGTTTTACCAGTGCGATTTCGATATCGCGGGGTCGTACGATGCTATGATCCCCGATGCGGAGGTGCTTAAGATTGCGACTGATGTTTTTGATGCGCTTGAGTGGGATTCGTATACTATTAAGATTAATCACAGAAAGATTCTCGATGGTATCTTCAAGGCGGCGGGCGTGAAGGAGGAGTTGATTCGACCAATTAGCTCGGCAGTCGACAAGCTAGATAAAGTAAGGAGAGAGTGTATGCTGTTTTCTCGAAGGTCACTGACATGTTACAGATGCCGTGGGAGGAGGTGAAGAAGGAGATGGAGACCAAGGGCCTTGCCACAGAGGTAGCAGACAAGATTGGTGAATGGGTACAACGCCGGGGTGGCGACGACATCATCGAGTATCTCAAGAGCAACGAGGAACTTTCCAAGTCAGAAGACGTACAGAAAGGTGTTGAAGAGATGGAACTGCTATTCGCATACCTGGATGCTTTTGGTGCGCGCAAGAGGATATCATTTGATCTTTCGCTTGCACGGGGTCTCGACTACTACACTGGCCTGATTTACGAGGTTGTCACAGAAGGTTCAGCCCCGACTGGAAAGGGAAAGCAACAAGAGGTTGGCGTAGGAAGTGTGGCTGCAGGTGGCCGCTATGATCAGTTGGTGGGCATGTTCAGTGGCAAGCCTATTCCTTGTGTCGGCATCTCCTTCGGTATCGACCGCATCATCAGCATCATGAAGGCACGCGGCCAATCGACACAGCGCGCCAAGGATGTAGATGCATTTGTCATGGCATTCGGTGGCAGGGGCTTCAACGGCATGCTCAAGGAGCGCATGCAAGTCGCACAAGAGCTGTGGGCTGCAGGCATCAAGGCCGAATTCTCGTACAAGCTTAAGCCCAAGGTTCAGCAGCAATTCAAGCAAGCCGAGGTCGCAGGGGTGCCGCTTACAGTCATTCTAGGAGAGGATGAGCTCAAGGATGGCAAAGTCAAAATCAAGGCTATGGGAATCAAGGACGAGAACAACCCGGAAAAGGATGGACTGCTGGTCGACCGGAGTAACATGGTGGAGGAGATTCGAAAGCGATTGTGAGGCGCAGCTTGAGCCCATGTAAAGAATAGGAACACCCGGTATGACGGCGCGCGCGAAAAGATACCCATAGACTCCTTTTCATTCGTCTCATGTTCTGGTGAGCGCAAGGGAATGGAGGAAAAGAGGAGGATGACTGTTATGAAAAGCAAGGTCTCGGGATAGAAGAAATGATTTACAACCATGAGAGCGCATCTATGGTTTACACGATTCATTTCCTATGGGGTGAGATGGAAGGTGGAGAATGGTGTTTGTTGTCTGTTCGAACGAGGAAAGAAGACGGGAATCAGCAGGAAGAAAAGAAAAAGGCGAAGGAGCATGTTTTTGTCGGTGACTGAAATCAATTCGGGGCGCGTGTAGGTCAATTGGGTATATGTGACACCGTGCAGTGTGCGCAACAATTAGTTTGTAGGAAATAGGGGTGTGATGGAGAAATTCCAATATTCTATACCGAGCCGCCTCCTTGCAGTCCTATGTACACAGACGAATGATGAAGATGGCGGAAATGTGCAGCTCGCCCGTGAGCGGCGTTCTTCTTAGCTCCAGGCGAGCGCCTCGGAACTTGCTGCAATTTTTAGTAGCCGTCCTTGCCCCACTTGTTGTAGGTGTCGTGGAGTTCCTGCGCAGTTAGCACTAACAATTCAAAGTAATTGGCCAGCAATTGGATACATACCTTGGGGAGGGTGACATTGGGGATGACGACAACGTTGAGAGCCGAAGGAGCGTCCTTCTTGACGCTGGTGTCGCCGCCAGGGTGGTACTGGTAAGGGCTGTGGCTGATATCGTCACGGTTCCAGGGCTCACTGCCGGTAGCCTTGGAAACCGTTCGCTCAGAAGAGGCACTGGTAGGGGAGCGGGCTACGGGGAGAGATGTAAGTATCTATACAGAGGGCGTGGTGTGGGTGCACCGTGTGGGCATGCCGCTTACAGAAATGCCATCCCGCAATGCCAAAGATGCCGCTCATGATGGCCAGGAGCACCTGCAGTCCAATCAGCTATCACTCTGCTTGCACCGCAGACAAAAACACAGTGGGAAGGCAGGTGCATGGCGTACGTAGAGCTCGGGATCACGCTTTGCGCCCTTCTTGAGGGCCTCTTTGCTGCGCTGCCTCTCGCCCTCTGCGGCGGCGCTGGTAGCCCAGCGGCGGAGGGCGGGGGCCGGGCGGACGAGACGCGGGGCGGCGCGGAAGGAGGAGCGGGCGATGATGGAGGACATGGTGAGTTCCAATGGAGTCGTGGTGGTGGTGGTGCTGGCGGTGGGTGCAGAGCAGCAGTGGTTCGATGTTGAATCTCGCAGCGATGCCAAGCGTCGCGGCTGCGTCACCGAGGGCACCATGCCGCTTGCAGCCTGGGGGCGCTCTCGGGCGCCGCGACCTCCACGACGAAGTTTATGCGCCCCTTTCGCCGCCCATCACACGTCTTTGTCCATCCAGCTTCCCTCAGGCCCCGGCGCCGCCGCCGCTGCTCCGCTCCGCTCCCTCTGTCTCGCCTTGCTCATTCGCTCCTGCCTTACTCACAGTCGCTCCTTCCCTTCTCCAGATCCCCCGGCCGCGCCTTCCCGTCATCCATGTTGTCATGCTGCTAGCAGCGAGAAGAGCGGCGCCACCGACATCAACACCATGGCTATGACCCCGACCGAGCAAAAGCGCTCTTCGACCGGCAGCCGCGTGCTGGGCATGACGGGCCCCGCC